TTTTATCATATTTCTGATCCATATATATGTCATCAAGAAGAAAGAGAACTCATCAAGTGTTGTTTATATATGTTTTGTAGAGTGGAGAAAGACACATTCAACAGTAGTATTCAATATCAAAAATGTTTATGGATAGAAAACGTTCATTAGACTTAATTTAAAATACTCATGTATCTTGAATATATAAGTTGACAAGTCATATATTGGCTTCATATTATTGGTAGATATCAAATTCACTAGATTAAAAAATGTAGAATAACGCGACCTTACACGCTGCATATATTTAAAGAAACTTTTAATGAATGACAGATGTCCCGTCTTACTATATGGGGGGGTTCTTTGTATTCCTTCATATTTCTTTATATGTTTTTTTTTAAATTATTTTAAGCTGAAAAATTTTTTAATTATAAAAATATTAGAATTAAGTTAAAAATAAACATGTAATGAAATTAAAACATTCAAGACAATGTTACCCATTGGTGGATTATGATAAAAAAATATTTGAATATCTTCATTCTATTTTAACCGAATACAATGTTTAATTTTCGGCAATGATAGAAGAATGTTTAATGTTTTTTTTTTATCTTTCACAAGACAAATTTCAATAAATACTATGTTAAGGTATTATAATTAGTTTTAAGAATGGAAAGTAACTTTCTGAATTGTTCGAAAAAATAAATACAATCATATTTGTATTGTAAAAGCCTTCATGGCTGAGTGATTACGTTGTTCGATACGTATTCACAAGATACTGTATATAATATTTAATACCATCAGCTATAAAATAACCTTGAACAAGTTACTAACAATTATTTATCTCGAATCACTTATATGATAGTATCCTGACAAACATCTACTCTTGTGATTAGTTAGTGTGTATGAAGAACGCAAGAAGTCTACTTCAAGCTGATCTTCTATCGAGAGCTACAGTTTAGTCATAATTGTAGGAATGATGTCGGGCTATTTGATCTGCCGCAAGGAAACAGAAAGCAACGGATATTCCCCTTCTTGCTTGTATTATGTAGGTTATTTTGTATGAGTAAACTGTTATAAATATAGCACATTCTCACAAATTAGACCACCTTTTTATTTCAAATTATAGAAAGATATTTTTTTAGTAAAATATATTTTAGATAAAACTAAACCTATTATAATATATGGCATTTATTGACGCTTCTCTTATGAATAAGAACATTTAACATTCTTTCATTACTGACAAAAAGAAAATCAGCACATTCGGTAAAATTAGCATGGACATATTTAGCTTTTCTTGCCGTGACTCATAGTTAGATCATGTCGTTTTAAATGAATTAATAATATATTCCAAATAATAGTAAAACTTTACATTAGTCAGTGATGTTCTCGACAAATTTAGTTGTCGTCATTAGATAAAGAACTGGAATGTAAAAATCTTTTTAAATGTTGTTTTTCTGTTCTTGTCATATGTGTTATTACGTTTAAGACATAAAAGTTAGACGGCAAGAGATTAACACTTTTAAAAAAGAGATGAACTATTTTTCTTCTTCTTCCGTCTGACAATCGTATGTTAAATAATGTAATAAGATATCTGAAAGAAAAAGAAAAAAATTTTTACATTTCAGTATTAAGCCTGGTAAAAATAAATACGTTGGTTGAAATGTTACTAACTCGTATACAAAAAATACTTTTAATAAAACAAATATAAAAATATGAGGAAGAATTTTTATTTATTAAACATAGATTAATAATATTCTTTCAAATAACTCGTAATCGATTGGCAACAATTATAAGCAAGTATATTATTGCTTATAATAAATCATATCTGCATATTTTGTCATCGGTGCTTATTATTATTATTATTTTATTTCAGTTTTATTTATGTTAGAATATTCGCTTTGTGCGTTGGTCGAAGCTTTAGTTTAGTTTAACGCATAGGCGATGAAATGTTTTGATTCTAGAGTAGGTTCAACACTTTTTATAAGATCCTCATTTGGAAGTTTAATTCGAGAGAAGACAAGTTTTTGAATGCTACTTAGATGAGATATAGGTTATTGTCTCTTCTATCGAACTCATATCTTGTGCAACGTATAACACTGATGGAGATCAGAAAAAAAAACATGAGAACGTTTATGTTCATCGAAATGGAACCTTCGAAAGAGGAGATTCTAATCTGCTTTACCGAAACAAAAGTTTAATGGTGAAGTAGAAATGTTTCATAAAAAGAAAAAGATATGGTATTGTAAGCTTCTTCACTGTTGAAAATGTTTTAATAGGCATGTAGTTTTAGTCATCGAAGGTGAAAGAACATCTTAACAGGATTCTATTTAATCTGAGTGAGATTTTTTCGTACAGGTCTTTTTCATTGGTAATGAAGGATCCCTGTTTCAATTCATTGACGATGTATAATTCGATATTTACTTGTATAAAAGTTAATGTTTAGTTAAAAATATTTTCTAAGTCTCGTTAATTAAGAAAATGTTGTTATTAGCTGCCAGAGACAACAAAAAATAATGGTATTTGTATTTTAAAAAATGTGATACATTGCTCAAATCTATCAATCTGATGGAAGGAGGAAAGTATTTCAGTCTACTCTAGCCCACGAAGTGCGAATCTAGGATAGGCCTTCTCAAGTCTTATGGCTTCGCGGCGTATGCTTATCGAACACGAGTTGATAGTATATAAAATGTGGACTGATCTTGTAACAACGTGTCATTTGTCTGAAGAATATATATAAATTAAACAGTAATAGAATATTTTTACAATAAGTAGAACCTATCTAAACCTTTATCTATCCAATGTAAGGTGGACTCGAGCTACCAAGATCTCGTAGCTCTGCCACCTATAAACTAATACGAACAAATGTTTTGAAATTTCATACTGTTATTGAAATATATTTTCCAATAAAATAAAATCTTTCATCAGTTGGTTTATGACTTTTGTCATTAAACATAAACATATGAACAATAATTATCGGTCATTTTTGAAATGAATGACTATAATTCAAGATCTAATAAATTGTCGACGAAAGTCAAGATCAATTGAATTTTCTATATATTGATCTTTATTTATTGAAATTATAAAATTCTATTCAATCTAGAAAACATTTCGCTAATCAAAAAAAGAAAAAAACGAAGATCAATGCTTTTTATCAGTTAAAAAGATGTTATCATATGTAGATTTATATATATATATATATTCTATAATTTATTTTTATTAATATATGACTACAAAATAAAATTGTTTTAATAGTTTTATTATTCTTGAATTTTTTTTGCTAATTCTCTTGATGAATCAATAATACCCGATATTGTACACATAAAACCAAATATAATAATTGCTATATTTCCAAATATTGTTGTTCGTGAAAGTGAATAATTTTTTAAATATAAATAAAAATAACAAGGCCATATTAAAGAAAGAAATACACCAGTAATACTTCCAATAAGACCCATTAATTGAGCAAAATGTGGAATACATAATGACATAATAAGTGTACTTAAAATAAGAATAATTCTTGCTAAAATTGTTTTCCATGTTGTTATTTCATTAGATAAAGAAAATTTTGGTAAAATAAGTTCACATGCAGCAAAATAAGGTAATGGATATGATAGAAGTGCTTTTATTGCTAATGTTAAATTAATAACAATACGTAATCGTTGTGTTGGTAAATTATTTGTTATTACTTCAGATGTTTGTTCTTGCCATGTTAAAAAACCAATTAAAGCAAAACCTGTTTTAAATATTGCAGCTATAATATGGGATAATACAAGCATGGCATTAAATTGATGTGGATAACGCATATTATTTTCTAATGTTGGTAAAAATATTTGAGATGTATAACTAAATACAATAATACCTAATGATGTTGGAAATGAAGCTATATTTATACGTAATTGAATTTTCGACCAATCCCATGTTGATGCTTGTGTAAGGCAATATATTATTATAATCATATTTATTATTAAATGAACTACAGCATTACCAGCACTAAAACGTGATACAAGACGAAGACTTCGTATAAATGAATATGGAAGAGTAAATAAACATGATAAACATATCCAATATCGAACAGGAATTTGAAATTGTGGAAAACTTCCTGCAAGTAATTCACCACAAAGAACTAAATAGAGAATACCTAAATATAAAAAAAAAAACAAAATTGTAAGTGTTTTATTTTATTTTGTTTTGTTTTTGTTTTTCTTCGTTTTCTATATAATTACTTACAAGTCATTAATAATTCAATATTTTGAGCAATAAATAATATTCGTCCACCAAAACGTTTTCCCCAAACACATTCAGCAATATCAACATAAGAATGTCGTACTTTCATCAATACTCCTGTTGATGAACTTGGCTCATAAAGACATGAAATAAGTATTTGTCCTGTATAAGTACATATCCAAGCAACGGCAATCATAGCAAGTAAAGACCAATAACCACCATGATAAACTGAATATGGTAAACTGACCAAAAACATTCCCTAAAAATAGTTTGTATATTTCTTCTAATGAGAACAAAACAAAACAAAAAAACAAAAAGAATAACTACTCAACTTGAATTGCATTAGTAACATTCCAAGCCGCTTCAAGTGCTGTAATACCATGTGTAGCAGATGTATTTCTTTCTTTTCCTTCTTCATAATGAAGAAATAATTGATCTGTTTCATTATTAAATCTTTTATATGTTGTAATTGGTGTAAAACGTACAGTAAATTTAGAACGTTCGTTTTTCATCATTAGTTCAAATAAAATGTAATAGAATGAATAGAAATAGAAAATGTTTTATAAGTAAATTGATTCTATTTACTAAGCTTTTACTATATAGAATATATCATTTTTTCAAGAACTTTGTCAATAATATGAATTGCCTTTCTCTCATTAATAATGATATAATGCCATTTAGATTATACTTATTTGTTTTGTTTGAAGAATCTCATCAAATATTTTTTTTTCTTTAAATAATAAATAAAATGAATAATATTTATTTATTTTTAGATGTTTAATTTTTAATAAAATAGAATAATGGCAAATCAAACAATATTTAATCATGAAAACGAAGAAAATTCTCGTGTTCAAGTGTTATTTTCCGGTGCTGATGAAGAAGATCATTCAATATCATTAACATCTAAATGTTCAACTGATGATGAACCGATGGAAAATCTAAACGAAGTTGAAAACTTTGATGATAAAAAACTTAATTTATTATATGATAATTGGTTAGCACTTGATGCAGAATTACGTACATTTGAAGCAAAACATAAAGACTATGTTAGAAAATTAGATGAAGTAGAATTACTGAAAACAAAATATAAAGATCAATTTGATAAATACAAGAAACGAATTACTCAATTACAAAAAGATGTTGCTCGATTACAAAAATCACATACGAAAAAAGGTTAGAAGGAAAAGAGACAGTGATTTCAACAAATTTTAAAATTCTATATATATCCTTCCTGACTAAAATAAACCGAACACCGTATTTGTTCGATTATTTCTTCCCACTATCGTTGTTCTGTTTCATATGTATATTACAGATACATGCTCGATTACTTAACTTATTCTGAAAGCTTCAGCTCTCTAATGTGAGAATTAGTGAAGAAAACAACAAATATGTCTCATATACTTTATGTGCCATTGAAACCAAAATTTTTTGTTTTTTTTTATTTCTCTGTTTTTTTTATTTCTCTGTTTTTTAGATTCCACTTGGAACATCGGATGGTAGTTATGTACCTCTGAGACATGACTATGCACCGAGACATCTTAAAATGTCTCGTTGCGCAGTCATGTCTCAGAGGTATCTAACTACCACCCGATATTTCAGATGGAATCTAAAAAACAGAGAAATAAAAAAACAAAAAATTTTGGTTTCAATAGTACATAAATACATGAGATATATTTGTTGTTTTCTTCGCCAATTCTCATATTATACGGCTGAAACTTTCAGAATAAGTTAAGTAATCAAGCATGTATTTGTGATATAAATATGAAACAGTACAACAGCGGTGGGAAGAAATAATCGGAAAAATACGGTGTTCAGCTTATTTTGATCATATATGTATATATTGGCGAACAAAAGTTTAGAGCAGCTATATTTTTGAGTTTTCTTCTCGATAGTAATAGCTAGCAAGGATCTGAAAAGACATTTGTGTAGCTGAAAAGATTTTCTATTAGGATTGTTACGTCCAAAGACCTCAGCAAAACTGCTTAGATGAGAGTCTGCGAGAAAACAAGGCCCTCGGAACTAGGTTTTTTAGCTTTCATTCGAAGCTTTTTAGAAAATATTTTATTTGATAGAATAAATTATTCTGCGCAAAATGAGACGTCACCGACCTTCCTTCATCAAATCATATTCAATTTACAGAAGGTCTCAGAGTGTCAAATATAGCACAAACATTGAAATTTTTAGTAAAAAGAAGAAAAAAAATGCTTCTTAGGTCTTTTATAAGTTAAATGCAGTTCGGTGATGGAAGGTCGGTGACGTCTCATTCTGTTCAGAATAATTTGCTCTATCAAATAAAATATTTTCCAAAAAGCTTCAAATGAAAGCTAAAAACCACTGGTTTTGAAGGTCTTGATTTTTTGCAGATTCTCACCCAAGCAGTTTTGCTGAAGTTTTCGAACCTATAAATCCTGATAGAGAATTCTTTCAGTTACACCAATGTCTTTTCAGATTCTTGCTTGCTATTAACATCGAGAAGAAAACTCAAAAATACAGCTACTGTAAACTTGCGTGCATCACTGTATATAAGTAAACATTAAAGATGAATCTATTTTGACTTTGTTTGAAAATAAAATATTTTCCAGATAGTCGACCTTAGTTTATGAAAGATCAAACATAACAATATGTTTGACCTATAAATGATTTATTCAGGATTTAAGTAGATGATAAATAAATAACGATGAAACAGTTGATTTTCAAGATTTCTTAGGATTCATGAAATTTCTGTGGTATATCTAAATGTATTTTGCTGTGAGTTTTGAACCGCAATATCCGCTAATGACATACTTAAAATGAATAATAGAAGTTTGTTTTTCCAAAAATAATTTTTATCGATATATTCATTATTAGAATGTCCTAAAATATAGCAAACGTTTTTGACTATGGAATTCTCTGTACTGTACATATTCCTAAAAGACTCTAAACTCTATACTGTCGATGACATTTCCCATATTGTTTGAATGAATATGATAATAGTATTATGTGTTTCCGTTTATCCAAATAAACAAAGATTTCTCATAAAAAACATAAAATCTAACAGAAAAAGCTTTTCTTCTCTATTTGTTTTTATGACATCATAGTTTGAATTTAGCTTCGATGAAGTGAATCTAGGGAAAAATTTAAGCTTAATTGTTATATGTATAGATACTGCAATTGAAAGCTTATAAAAAGTCATAGTTTTAGATGGCAGCCATTTATCTGAGATCCTTTTTTTTTTGAAACATGTACCATAGTATAGGAAGTATAAAGAGAAAAGCTATGAAACAGTTTTGTTTAAGGATGAAAATAATATCATTATTTATTTAGAGGGAGAAACAAAGCAAACCACTCCAAAGTCAAACCTGATAAATTTGAAGAATTCTCAATTTACAACGAATCTCGTAAAGAATAAAAATTCCTTACTTGCAGTTAGATCATTATCTCATCAATCTGAACTATCATCTGCTAATTCATCCCCAACATTAGATAGCTTAGATGATACATTATCATATGCTGAACGTTTGAATCTCGTATCTGATCGATTGGATAAAAATACGTTATATCTATCAAGAATCTCTAATACATTACCACGTAAAGATTCATATTTAAAAATAATTCTTGGCGGTGTTGATGTATCAATATTAAATAATGCTGAAAAATGGATATACAAAGAAGAATATGAAAAATTTAAATTTATTATTACTTGTATCTCATTAGTATCTTCACTTGGTATTTGGTCATTAACATCACGTTATCGTACATTTGATGCTTTATTTCATTTTTTACTTGTTTGGTATTATTGTACATTGACAATACGTGAATCAATTTTAGTTGTCAATGGATCACATATTCATCGTAAGTTATTTTTATAATTTATATAGGAATATCTTGTTTATTTGTTTGTTTTTTAGCTTGGTGGAGAACTCATCATTTTATAACAACAGTAGCTACAGGTATTTTATTAACATGGCCTGAATCTGCTTCCTATCATGCGTTTCGTTCACAATTTTTTATCTTTTCATTTTATCTTAGTTGTGTTCAAGTAAAAAAGGATTTCATTTATGATTTTCTGAACTATACAATTATAAGTTTGTTTTTTTTCTTTTCATAGGTTCTTCAATTTTATTATCAACGTGGTTGTCTCTATCGACTTCGAGCTTTAGGTGAAACTCATGATATGGATATAACTATTGAAGGATTCCATCGTTGGATGTTTCGTAAGTAAAATATGATAAAGAATTTCAATTATTTCATATGTCCAAGAAGTTGGACATGACTTTTAGTTCGATTCAAAATTCCGGTGACTTTTCGATCCAAGCCAAAAATCATACAGGAGTTCCGGTTCGGGCTCAAATTCCTCTCATTAACTTCTTTAAAAACTCAAAATTTAATAAAACGTTGGTACACTTCGTAGTGTTTAGCAAGATGACGTAGCTCAACGAGTATGAGTACATATTCATACTAGCTCACTATTGATACTCTCAATTTCTAAATAGTTTGTTCAATAATCTAAACACTAGCTGAATATCTGATGGCTCCAACTGAAGCATCTCAGTTACAAAATTTGTATAGTATTTTCTGTTTACTGGAACACAATGCCAAATCTTGAAATGTAATTTGCTGACCAAAATGCTAAAGTATTATCTTAGTTCATGCTGCTTAGCACTAGACTATCTTGCTGAGCGAAACGCTAGGACTCTTGTTTAATCTAAATACATGCTGCTGATAAGTAATTTTTAATGAAAATGAATAGTGCTAAGCACTATGGGAGGTGTACCAAATATTCATAGAAATGAGGATTAATGAAAGGTATTTTGGACCGAGAGAAAAACTTTTTAGGTCAAAAGTCTGATCTCCCTCTTCGACATGTGACATAATTCAGAAAACAATTTTATTTCTCTAAAGGTGGCTTATCATTCTTGGTTCCATTTCTTCTTCTTGGTTATTTATTTGAATTATATAATGGATATACATTATGGCAATTAGCACATGTACCGAGTACTCATGAATGGCAAGTATTTGTATTATCAATAATATTTTTTATATTATTTTTGGGGAATGTTTTAACAACATTAAGTGTTTTACGTGAAAAATTTCGTGAAAAAGCTCGACCAATATTATTAAAACAAAAATATCAAAGTTTTAAAACATTCCTATCAACAAATTATCATCGATCAAGATCATTTAATCAACTATTTTCTCCAAAAGCAAAAATTCACCAACGATGAAGAAATTAAAAAAGACATCGAAAAAAAGAAAAACAATTAATTCATAGTTTTGTGCGTTTTTTTTTGCTTGAAAAAAATAATAAAAAATTATCCATTAAAAAGATGAAGAATATAAGAATTTTTCTTTGATTGTCAAGATGTGATTATCGATAAATTGATTGAAATAAGTAGCATAATTTCGACTTACAAAGAAAGATCTCTAAGTATGAGTCTATATTTTCAATTGGGTTTACATCGGTTCGTAGAGCTCGATGAGTTGATCACAGTGATATATAAAGCATTTGTGCCCGTAGACTTTCTTTGAAGATTTAGTTTGATGTCAACTTCAGCACAATTACTGTAATCTGTTATTTCGGAAATTTTAATTTTTATGTTGGTTTCATATTCAGCATTGAAAATGTTAACAATGGATACACCTTAATTGATGGTATACATTCAATATAAATAGAAGTCCTAGCTACGTCTATACTCTAATATATTTAGAACATTTATTTAAAAAAAAACCATGGTGATCATGTAACAATTACCTTCCTTATCTGTTGTAGTTTTTCATATAAACATGCAAGAAAACAACTAAATAGACTGTAAACTATTGAAAAATGAGATATCTGTCAAGACTTGAATTACTACGTCTTTAAAATAGTACTCCTATAGAATTTTGATTAGCTTCGAAAAATAGTTCGATTCCGTACGCCCACAGCATTAATGGCATAACAATATTCAAAAGTATATACGTAATTAGAACTTCTGTTTATATTGACTGTGTGAATATGTACAGTCAATAAAAGCGGATTTAGTATTAAAGTTTTTAAAGTTGAGAACTAAACTGCTAGTTATTCTTTGTGAAGTTGAGATCGATCTAACTCCTTAAAGAAAGTCTACGGTGAGGAATGCTTTATGTCATTGTGTTCAGTTTATCGAGCTTTAAGAACTGGCATAAAGCTGATTGAACATGAAAACTCACACTTACGGATCTTCTTTCATTGGTAATAAATGTACCTAACAAAACAGATTCCTCTAAATATATCGATTGGATAGAAATTTATTCTAAATCTTATGATAAATACTATAAATATGAAAAATTTTATCAGTAAACATTGATTTCAACGAGCTTTAAATTAAATTGAATTAAAACAAAATATCTGATTTAAGCCGATTTTATCTTACTGAAAAAATTGAAATAAGGTTGAATGATCTAATGGAATTATTTTATTTTAGAAAGAAAGTAATCATGAGTTGATATATGTATTTCATCAAATCATACTAATCCATTATGCAATAATGACAGACTTAAGTGAAGAGGACAGGGACGAAGGGATAATCTCTTTCCTTCAAGAATCTTTTTTTATAGCAAAATCGACCGAAAAATATGTTTATTACTATCCTGGATGAACCTCAAAAAAATGATTTTTGCTTTTTATTGTCTTCTCTTTCGTTTAAGTGCCTCCATCCTATCCAAAATTCTAT